CCTATTTGACCGTTGACCATGCACATGCGGCAGTGACAGAGATGATGTGGACAAAGTGTGTGCAAGTCACGAAATTTACGCGCGTGACTGCAATAATTTTGATTTAAAAAATCTAGAACAAAAACAAATACAAATTAAAAAGAAAGAAAATAAACCAGGCCCACTTCCCCATCCCCAGTAAAATTCCCTTCATCCCAGTGTTCTTTTCCCCCATTGTCGTCCTCCCCCAAGGAATTTCTCGGACGCAAAACCTAATCGAAGACGGAAAAGGAAAATAATCTACCTTTATATATTATGTCATGCGCATATGCGAAAATTTTTACACATAAACAACCAAATCAAAACAACTAAGACTAACATCGCGATCGGGACCAAGCTGCTATGGAAACAAAAGTTTGTTTTCGTTGTTCCATTCAATGAAAGCTCTGTCTTCGTTTCAAAATATTTAAGGAACATAATAACTTTTTACCCTACTCCTTAATATATAGGTGTTAGCTGAATACCAATTGGATGAAAGTGAAAAAGAGAAAACTGCACATGATACCGATGGAAAATAAATATGATTATGCAGATAGTGATGAGGATTCTAATGGCAAGCAATTCAGTAGCAAACGAAACTTGATTTAGAAATAAGAGAGAGAAAGAACACTCAAGAAAAGGAAAAAAACAAAAAATTAAGGAAAAGAATGTGTTGGGAATAAATTCCCCTACAGAAATAATATTCACGGTAATAACAGCGGAACAATTATGTAGTACCGAGATACGGTAATCAACAAGAATAAAAAGGAACAACAAGGACACAAAGATTTTTAACGTGGAAAACCCTTCTGAATAAGGGAAAAAACCACGAGCCCGAGAGGAGCAAAGTAATCCACTATAATGAGGAATTCTACACCCAGTAGTCCGAGTAAAATACTTCAGGGACCACTATACACTCAAAAGAAATAACCCTCTTTTAAGATTCCCACCTCACTACAATATCGCTCACACTCTCTATTTTCCTACACAGTCTATTTCTCACATGTTTGAGAAATACTCTCTGCAACTACTGTGTTGCTTCTCTTTCTCTGTGTATTAAATGAAGAAGCCGAGAGCCTCCTTTTATAGGGTGAAGTTGCCGCCCACTTGACCAATCAGGAGCATTGGTTCATTTGCAATTTGAATTGCAACTTGCCAATTTGCATTCTGACAAATTGTTTGGCAAAACCGATTTTGAGATTTGGTTATAACTTCATCTTCTTCTCTTTTTTTTTCTTTAATATCATGGGGATGGACCCCACAATCTCCCCCTCCATACCCATTCACCTGAAGGAGGTAACACCGGACATCTAACTTGAGTGCATGCCGACAAGTTCTTTGCACAACTCGAACTTGTCTCTTGGTACCACCTTGGTCAGCATATCTGTAGGATTCTCACTTGTGGAGATCTTCAGGACNCCCATGTGTAGGGCGTATAACTGCTTCTTCAGGTACAATTTATTTGTCAGTGTTTTGGACATGTATAGGCTTTCCAACCTTGTCCAAATGCCACGTGCGGTGTCTTCATCAATGATGTTATTTAGCACATCATCTGATAAGTGCAACCTGATTGCACTAGCAGCTCTTTCATCCAAGTCAGTCCAATCCTCAGCTTTCATGGCATCAGGCTTTTTGGCATCAGCATCTAGTACCTTGTGTAATCCTTGTTGAATAAGCAGATCCCTCATCCTTCTTTGCCATGTTGAGAAACCGCTATCTCAGTTAAACTTTGCTACCTCGTACTTTACTCCGGACATTTTTGTTTCACTGAGTATAGTACTACCGACAGTGAAGAATATTTCTGTGAACGAGCAGAACCTGTGCTCTGATACCAGTTGTTGGGAATAAATCCCCCTACAGAAATAATATTCACGGTAATAACAGCGGAACAATTATGTAGTACCGAGATACGGTAATCAACAAGAATAAAAAGGAACAACAAGGACACAAAGATTTTTAACGTGGAAAACCCTTCTGAATAAGGGAAAAAACCACGAGCCCGAGAGGAGCAAAGTAATCCACTATAATGAGGAATTTTACACCCAGTAGTCCGAGTAAAATACTTCAGGGGACCACTATACACTCAAAAGAAATAACCCTCTTTTAAGATTCCCACCTCACTACAATATCGCTCACACTCTCTATTTTCCTACACAGTCTATTTCTCACAATGTTTGAGAAATACTCTCTGCAACTACTGTGTTGCTTCTCTTTCTCTGTGTATTAAATGAAGAAGCCGAGAGCCTCCTTTTATAGGGTGAAGTTGCCGCCCACTTGACCAATCAGGAGCATTGGTTCATTTGCAATTTGAATTGCAACTTGCCAATATGCATTCTGACAAATTGTTTGGCAAAACCGATTTTGAGATTTGGTTATAACTTCATCTTCTTCTCTTTTTTTTTTCTTTATTATCATGGGGATGGACCCCACAGAATGGAGGTGGGTGAACGGAGAAGAAGGGAGAGGTGGGTGAACGGATGTCAGGTCTTTTCCTTCCTTTCTTTTTTCTTTTTTTTTTTTTAATTTGTGACTTTTTTTTTGCTTATTTAGTATTTAATAATAGGACCCACAAATAACACATGTCAAGTAATAAATAGTCTAGTATATGACGTGTTGTACATGTCAGCGCAATTGATATACACGCACTACTGAATGTATTTATTTGTACTCAGTCGGTCAAGTTCGAGTGTTCAAATGGGAATAATGAAAGTTTGTATATCGGCTTTAAAATCCGTTACAAGTTTAAGTGGCCAGGAAGCCATTTCGCCTAAAATAAAAGTGCTACTAAATTTTCCCTAAATATGTCTTACAAATTCAGCGACAACACAAGTAAATGCAAAATAAAATACAAAATTGTAAGGTCAGGTGAAAGGTACGTACAATTCCAGGATCGGTCGGAGAAGCAACATGTATTTTGAAAAGCAAGACTAGAGGCAGTGAAGTCTTCAAAATAATGATAGAACTTCAAAGTAATTAAACTTGGTAGCTGCAAACAGGGTGAAATGGTGAGTTAGCAATAAAATGTGTTCATAGGGGAGACAGTTAACGGAGGAAGGGTAGATTTGTACCACTTTCATGATGTCAGGATATATTTGGACTGATAGTATGACGTCGGGGATATATTTGGACTGATAATATAACGGAGGATAATATTAAACCCTTTTCCGATAATACTATTATTTGTGGGTTGGGGTGTGATTCGCAATTTCTCCTAAAAAAGCAAAGACAGAATCATGTTTATAGTAGCGAAGTAGCGATTGATGTCACAGTTAACAAGGTTAAAATTTTCAGAAAAAAACTACGTACTATTTTTGGAGGGAGCTCCTCCCGGTGAACAGACCATCCTCAAACCAACACAAATGAATAAGTAAAGTATATTCGGGCGCTTGAGAGAATTATGTCGAAAGAATTCGACAAAATGACCTTGTAGCTTATATGTGAATTTATTATTCGTACTCGTTTTTATGCTAAAATTACATTAGTTTATTATGACCATTGATAGAAATAAAGATATATTGTTGAGTTGATAGTAATAGTTAAGTGATAGCAATTTAAATAAAATACACGTTATATTATTTATTAGATTAATATAAATATCGGATTTCGAATGAATGTGGAAAAACTACATACGCGTAGCGGCGGCTCTTATCCAATAAAATAAGTTTTAGTAATAATTGGGTCCAAAATTTTCTGAACTAGGTGGAAATTGAAAATCTCACTGTTTTTTCACTTTTTAGGAATAGTAGTTTCTTTTGAGGTTTTCACGCGTTGTCTTTTTCGCTTTTCTTTGTTAAAATATTACAAAGCTGTTATCGTCATCTAAGTTGTCCACTACTAGTTACTGCATGTGCAAAACAAAAGTTGAGGTTTGATGCCAATACATTAATACAGGGCGGCTTTCATAAAGCAAGTAAAGCAACTGTTTTAAGTCCCACATTTATTAGGGTCCCATTTTTTGTTACATCTAATAGGTTATGCATAAGTTTAAAAAAAGGATTTGTGAAGTGAAAAAAAATTAATTTCCTTCTTTAACAGGTATAGAGAAGAAAGATTTGCAACTGCTATGATTTCTGCCAAGAAAATTGCACTTGAAATGAATATCGAACTCGAATTTCGTACGAAACGTATGATATATAGGAAGTAACAATTTAATGAGAATGTTGATAATAAAATCTCAAAATCTTTCGAAGAATGCTTTGGAGTTGGCTACTTCATACATTTAGACAGGCTTATTTTTTTCACTTCAAAATAGATTTGAACAATTCGAAACATATGAAAATATTTTTGATTTTCTATTTAGCGGTAAAAATTAAGATCACTAGATGATAAAAATTTTAAAAAATATTGCCTTAGTCTTGATTGTTCCTTAAAGCATAATAATCAATTCAATATTGATAATTTGGATTTATTTTCGGAATTAAAAATATTAAGAAAATAGTACAATTAGAAGATAACAGTCTAATTGATACACTCGGTCAAAAAACTTGATTCTTTTTGCAATGCCTATATTACTTATGGAATAATATTAATAACTCTTGTTTCCGTCGTTTCATCAGAAGGAAATTTTCAAAATTAAAATTATAAAATCTCACATAAGATCAACAATATCTCAATAAAGATTAAATCGATTAGTTGTACTGTCAATTAAGAAAGACTTATTAGGAGTTATTAATTATAAGAAAATTATTAATAACTTTGTATCTAAAAAACGCTAGAAATATAGACTTCAAATAAATAATTAATTTTAAAAAAGAATAAAGTTAAGGCCCCTCACAAAATTTGGCTTTAGACCACAAAACTCGTCGGGCCGCCCCTGCATTCATAAAAAAAAACATATAATGAATTCTAAGTTCAATCCATCATGTTTAGCAGGAAGACGACTGTTGTTGAATGATCGACGAGCTTCCTCTTTAGTTCTTTGATATTGGGTTCGTGTTCAATGTACCGCTCTTTTTATATATGAAATTACTTCGTATTTGTTTTTAGCCCTTTTTTGTTTGTGCATCGTTCTTCCATGCTTTCTGTTGGTCAACAACCAACCAAAGGCACTTCTGTGCAATATCCAACGCATATTAAACCACTTAGCAACCAAGCATCAATAGAGTAACCTGCGGATTGGTGTCCGGCTACATACATATTCATATCTCGGGTTATGTACATAACCCTGTGAGTATCCCACTTCAGTCTTTGTAGCACCCGCCACTCTCTGATACGCCAATTCAATTCCCCAGAAACAACCCGCTCCGAATTGAGCAAACTGTTGACCCGGGGCGGGTATGTCATCGTCGGGTCCTTGAGGAATTGCATATGAGTCCATAGCGGGTGATTGATCAGTTCGAAAACCAAAACCCAGTTTGTTGAGCCAAGCTTCAATAGAGTAACCTGCGGATTGGTGCGCAGTGACACAGTAAAGGTTGAACTGATGTTGGACATATTTTTATATATTTTAATGTTACTTTATCCATATTTTAACCGTTTTGGGTGCTATTTGGTGTTTAATGCCCAACATGTGTTAGTTATCGGTTCTATGACTAATTAAGTTGTGTGTGATGATTTAGGATGTTTGGAGTGCAAAAATATAAAGAAAATATGTTCAAACTGTAGGAGAAGAGGGTGGATGCGTCGCATCCAACCAGGGTAAAAAAAGGATTTTTGGTTCATCCTTAGCAGTGAAGTCGGAAGAAGGCATCCGCCTTAGCATCTGCACCTCGGTGCAGCAAAGTCGAGGGAACAGAGGGTGGACGCGAAGCATCCACCCCAGCATCTGATGCTGAGAAGTTCAAGCTGAGGTGGACGCGAAGCATCCACCCATCACTGAAGCTGATTCGGAAAAGGGAAAAAAGAAAAACTAGGGCAACCCTTTTGTACGCCATATATAAGCCAAAAACGTCTCTCTTTTCTAACACACTTTAAAGCAGAGGAGAGCTATCCAGAGCTTGAAAACCACAGAATTCATCTTGAGTTCTTCCGTTCCCTTCTTTTATTGATTTTTATGTATTCTTGGGAATTGATTGAGATCGCTACCATGATATGTGTGGTTAAACTCTTTTATTCTGGGGTTATGATTTTACATAAATATATATATATTCGAATATTGATTTGACGAGTTAATTTATCATATTGGATTGTTTATTTTTATCTTGAGTTTAATTATTTTACCGCCTAACAGTGAAATACTATATATGAATTTTGAGTTGAACTTGAAAGAGGTAATTCTTGATTGCAATAGGATTGAATAAAGCGCGATCTCGAACCTAGCAATTGGGGAATTGATTTGCGAATATGGATATAAATATACCTATTTGCCGTGCTTAGCCAATTTTGCAAGAGATTAATGCATTTTTTTTATCTCTAATCTCATAGGAATATAGGGGCTAGAATAAATTAAATAGGGGAGTAGAAGTTGTCAAATTTCTACGAGTATTATTGTCATTGCAGGTTAATAACCCAGATAAATTAATAAGTCGAGTTTATTGAAGAATTCAACAGGATCATTAACCTGCCATAACCTGGAATATTGTTTCTCATTGAATTCAACTCTTTGTGCTAAGTGTGCTAGTTAACTCTTTCTTCTTTTTAATCGCAGATCTAGTTAGTAGACTTAATTAAACAACAAAAAAGGGCCCAAATTATCCCTATCGTTAGCTAAATGGTTTATGAATACCCTTCGTCCATCTATCCGTTCAAAAAAATACACTCCGTCCATCTATCCGTCCAAAAAAAAACACACGAAGTTAAGACTATTAACAAAAATACCCCCGCGAAGGTAAATGGGTTGAAATAATATCTATTTTTTGTTCTGGTCAAAGATTGCCACGTGGCCAATTAAAAATCGCCACGTCATTAAATGAAAGACACATCCCTATTGTTTGCTAAATGGTTTATAAATACCCTCCGTCCATCTATCCGTTCAAAAAAACACACTCCATCAGTTCTGCCGTTAGTCGCGGGGGTATTTTTGTTAATAGAATTAACTTCGTGTATTTTTTTGAACGGATAGATGGACGGAGTGTATTTTTTTTAACGGATAGATGGACGGAGGATATTTATAAACCATTTAGCAAACGATAGGGATAGTTGCCTTTTCCGATTAAACAACAATCACCTTGACATTGTTCTTGACTCGATAAATTGCAATTTGCTTGATTTAGTAGACAATTGATTACAAGTCCTCGTGGGAACGATACCCTACTCACTCTTTATTACTTGATTGACCGTGTATACTTGCGTGTGCGATTTTGGGCAACAAGAATCACCAACCCTGAGTACCCCAGTCTTAAGTTCCTATCAACCACTTTCTCAACAAGGCAACCGCCATTGTAATGTGAAATTGTGGTCACAATGACAGCGCCCCATTTGTGTCTATTTGCGATCGTGCCTAGCTGGGCTTCCTCTATTCCAAACCACGAATGTGGTTCCGGGTCTCTTGCATCATCTTTGCTACGACCTCAGGGTTGAGAGGAGGCAAATGCTCAGCAAAGTAAGTATGAGGTCAAGGATTAGCAAGTAATAAATAAAGGACAACCCGGTGCATATAGCATTTTGCGTCCATGCATGATTCAAGAAAGGATTATATCCCAAGGTATGTAATATAGACAACATATCCTAATGCAAATATTAGTGATTGTTTCCACGATTAATTGACAAAGAAATTCTTCATTGCTCCAAGGTTCCCTACTAGCAAATACTAAATATAACAATTTAATAGTATTGGCGGAATTTTTTTTATGCAATAAGCAAAGATAGGTGTGAGTTTAATTTCTACTTCTTTTATTTATTTTTCCCATTCCTCGATCCTCCTATGTAATAGAAAAAATTTAATAAGAAGTTGAGGTCAAGGTAGAAAATATCTCACAAATCTGAATTGACCGTGGGTAAATTCAAGTTTAACAAAAATGATATGGATATGCCAAAAGTTTAAGAAAAATGATACTCCGTACGGATAATTTTTGGTTGAGACAAAACTATTTTCAGAATAATAAAGCTTTTTCACGGCATGGGTAGGGAATTTTTGTCGAGAAGACTGAAATTTTGTGAATTATATTTTCGAAAAAATATTCAAAGAAGTAGGCAACTGTTGGTTCTAAAATCTGAGATGAGAAAACGTAGAGACATATTCAATGCAAATAAAAAGACATAATTAGCAGTATCAAACCAAAGTAACAATATTATAATCACACTTATTTCATGAAGTGGAATAAATTTGTACCTACCCCATTTCATGTACACACGATTATTGATTGGAAGTTTCCTTCTAATTACCTCCATAACTTGTCACGACCCAATTTAGGATCATGACCGGCATCTAGAAGCAAGTGCCCCCAAGTAAGCCTTATCGGTATTTTACACAAAATCAAACAGAGTTTCCCCTGATTTTGGACTATCCCAAAAATAAACCTGTCTTAGAAATCAACTACCAAACATCCTAATATCATACCAAACAATTGACAACCAATCAATCAACCAAAACGAGTCTCCACCATTACTAATCAACCCACTAACAACCAGAAATACTAATTTATCTCCAACCTTGATAATAAAGAACGATACTCAACAAAAGACTAATAGCAAAATAATACTCATGACACTAAAAGAATGACTATGGAGCGACTCTAAGAATTCAAAGAAAAGACTATAACAATTGATAAACATCTCCGCCCACGCGAACAAGTGCGAGGCTCACCAAGAATTCTCAACCTGTACGCTAATTAACGAAATCCCCGCCTGCGTCAACGGCCACACCAAAAAATGTTTGAAGATTCGTCTCATGTCTATCCTAAATGCTAAATCCTAACCATGGTCAATGACTATTACCTTTTTTTTTTTGACAAGAAAACATTGTGTTACATAATATGTTCATCTCAAAATAAAAGTCGCACTCTCTTTTAAAATAAGATCCTTCTTGGTAAGATTCTTGGTCTGGCAAACAGACTAACTATTTTTCTCTTTTATATGCAATATCTCGAAAGCAATATATATATATATATATATATATATATATATATATATATATATATATACCATGGCGATGAACATTTTACATTAGCAAAAAAAAGAATTTAGTCCATAATATTTGTCACTTTAAAATTAAAAAAATTTTAGTTGTATTTTTTTCAAGTCCACCCTCACTAGTCCAAGAAGGCATATAGTTATTAATTACTCCCTCCGGTTCATAATAAGTGTCCAATTTATTTTTGGCACGTCCATTAAGAAAATACTAAATTCTATACAAAAATACCTACTATGACTAAACTACCCCTAATTAAACATTTAATGTGAGGAGTAAGAAAACTTTTTAGGGATATGTACATAGATGTTATTTTGTAAAAACAAAATTAAATTCTTTCTTGATTACATAACTAGACACTTATTTTGAACCAAAATGAAAAAGCAAATTGGACACTTATGTGAACCAGAGGGAGTACTCATTTAAGGAAGAGATTATGATAATTTAATTATACTATTTCATTAATGTTGTTGAATAATTTTGTAATGGACGTGCAAAAATCTTAAATAACACATAAAGGCCAGATGTAGTATATTAATTAGGACTTGAACAACCAAACCATATGATATTGTAAGAATTGAATATGTTCGATTTATAGTCATTAATTAATTTGTTCCTCCTGAAACTGATCTACTAAGTTCCACAATATAATACACCAATAAATATTTATCATGTAGTCTTGATTCTTGATTGCACGCCAATGTTCAATAATCATGGCATTCACAGACTGTAAATACACAAATCTTAACTCAACATTCAATTCTATGCACTGAACCAATAATGCTCAAAATAAAGCAGCAACGAATACTCCTTACTCCCTCCGGTCTACAATAAGTGATCAATTTATTTTTTTATTTTGGTTCAAAATAAGTGTCCATTTATATAATCAGAAAAAAATTCAATTTGTTTTTTCAAAATTACCCTTATTTACGTATCCCTAAAAAGTCATTTACTTCTCACATTTGAGAAGAGAAGTAAGTGCTACTATAATATGCTGCAATATTTAATTAAGGGTAGTTTAGTCACACTATCTATTTTTGTCTAAAATATAATATTTTCTTAATAGGTGTGTCTAAAGCAAATTGATCACTTATTATAGATCAGAGAGTAACAAATTTAACATGGTTTTGCTCATATCATTAAAGTCAATGTTTAACTATATTGGGATTTCTCCAACGGCATCCGTAATTATTACTACTGGAATCAACTACTTTACTCTTTACCTATAAAAAGTTTTCTCGCGCCGTGCATCATTACTCATCTAAGAATGATTTAATGCACATATATTTAATGGTTTTCTATTTTTACCATTTTATTTAATGTCTTTATTGCTCGTAAATAACCTTTTTATTTTTATAAGTTGAAGTAAGATATCACTACCCTTCACATATTCTACTTGTGAAATTTTACTGGATTTTTTGTTGTTGTTGTTTCTTGCTTGTAAATTAAGGTTTATTTTTTGATTAAAAAAATAAAGAGAGATACTAGATGGTTGAGAATTTCAACTTCCACAAATTTGTAGAGCCTTAGACGCCTTTTATATCACATTTTCTTGTTTTTTTTTTTTTTTGTGTGCTTATAATTATGTGCATAACTGCATATTGTTAACCAAAGTGAGAAAGAAAAGGACAAGTAGAGCTTTTGAAATTAGGATTATTTAATTGTGAGAGATTTAGTATCCAAGTATTAAATACTTATACAATATGGTAATGTGAAATTTAAAAACAAAATACTTAGAAGAACTTTCTTTTCACAAATTATTTGCTGTCTTGTATCACGATTTTAGAAGAAGAAAAAGAAAAGCATTTGAATTTATGCTAGATGTAAAATCTTACATATATAAAGTATAATCAATATAGATTTTGA